CTGACAGGGGAAAGGAAGACCTGGGTTCAAATACTATTTGAACTCTTTAAAATACTTTTAGCGTTTGCTTTAGTCTGCCTAGAGTTCCAGATGTGCAGGGTTTGCACTTTTGCGACTATTCTATTGGCTCCATTGCGCCAGGCAAGCTCAATCAAGCCCAGCTGAAGTATTTGAAATTATTTTAAATAGTATTTGAACCAGGTCTGGGTAAAAGACACCAGTGAACCTGAGCGGTGCTCCATCTAGCTGGCGGGAGGAGTTCAGCTCTTAGAAGCTTTTGGCCAAGACACTGGGGTTGGGTTAGTCCGGGTATCAGTTTGCTTCTGCTATCATGACACTCCTTGTCATGCACATTTTTTTTTTTTTAGATGTTTGTCATGATGGCACGAACAGACTGGTTCCCAGGCCAAGGATGAGTGCAAAACGTTTTGGCTTCTGAATCATAAACTGTTGTTGTACTCAAACATTCTTCAGGCTATCGGGTCCTAGTTCCGACAAAGTTACCCAATAGACCCCATATTTTAATTGGCTTATTTTGATGACATGGGGTTCAGTTTCATGGTGACTGCACATAGACACTCAGTTATCCATCAAATTAGTCTAATAAGGTCTTTCCCATTCTGAATAATATGGATTACCAATCAGCTTTGACAGGTAACAAATTGGCTTAAGTTCCTGAGGTTGTCTTTGTTTTTGGTGATATCTTTACAATTTCTTAAAATAAATATGACATCTCCATGCAGATTCCCATGAACTAGTTTCAAACCAGGATCAACTAATTAAAAGACAAAAAATACAGGTGAAACCAAGACAAGAATGTACAACAGAAAGAGCTAATTCCAGTTTGTGAAAGGATCAATGGCTCAATAGTGAACGTTCATATCTGTCAACAACAGTAGCCCTTTCCTGCAGTCAAATGACCTAGTGGCCTCATGGGTGGAATTGTATTCATATTTTTCATAATTTCATAATTAATAAACATATTTATTTATTTATTTGACAAAATGTCAGTCTGAGTGAGGTGTATACTTTTGTTTCAAAGTAGATTTTTTAAAGACTACCAAGAAACGCTGTGACCCTGATTTAGCCCACTGCAGTAAAAGGTTAAAGGGCAATTCTACCACTTTTCAACTTGCTGTTCATTATCTCCAGCACACTACCAGTGGCTACATATGTGAAAACAGCTCATTTCAACTTTTTGTAGAAACAAATATAAAGTCAATAAGTTCTACCCAATGACATCAACAAAAACATTTAAAAAATGTGATTTTCAAACACTATGAGATTCGTGGTGACATGGGGAGCTAGCAACTTGTTGCAGGTTTTGAAAATCACCGTTTTTTTAAAATATGAATCCTACCCTGTGACCCTGAGAAGCATTTAAAATATGTAGGACCTATCTTCTTATTTTTTAACCACAGATCATAGAAACACACTGTTTTTACATATGTAGACACTGGTTTGGTGCTGGAGATAATTAATATGAGGTTCCCATACCAGTTGAAGGCAACTATACATGTATGACTCAAACATGCTCAAGGGTACACAGTGACAACATTTGATACAGTATTCTACATAGTATTCTTTCACCACTGTAATGGATATGGCCACTAATGCTGAGTTTCTAAGGAAAATATAGCATTGAAAACGTCATAACTATTTTATGTTTTGTTATAAACTATATTTATAAGATTAAAGGCCCAGTGCAGTCAAAAATGTGACTTTCCTGTGTTTTATATACACTCAGTGTACAAAACATTAGGAACACCTGCTCTTTCCATGACATATACTGACCAGGTGAATCCAGCTGAAAGCTATGATCCCTTATTGATGTCACTTGTTAAATCCACTCCATTCAGTGTAGATGAAAGGGAGGTTAAAGAAGATTTCTCAGCCTTGAGACTATTGAGACATGGATTGTAGTATGTGTGCCATTCAGAGGGTGAATGGGCAAGACAAAAGATTTAAGTGCCTTTGAACAGGATTTGGTAGTAGGTGCCAGGCACACCGGTTTGAGTATGTCAAGAACTGCAACGCTGCTGGGTTTTTCACACTCAACAGCTTCCTGTGTGTATCAAGAATGGTCCACCACCCAAAGGACATCCAGCCAACTTGACACAACTGTGGGAACCATTGGAGTCAACATGGGCCAGCATCCCTGTGGAACACTTTCGACACCTTGTAGAGTCCATGCCCCGACGAATTGAGGCTGTTCTGAGGGCAAAAGGGGGTGCAACTCAAAATTAGGAAGGTGTTTCCACACTATGAGGTTAGAATAATACTGTGAAAATTATGACAATTCCCTTTTAGTGTAAGAGCTGTTTGAAAAGACAGCCTGTAATGTAAGCCTGTTTTGGTGGGATCACCAGGCGGTAAATTAGTTAATAGACGAATAAGAAAGAGAGTTCCAAACCTCTCTGCCAATAACAGCTAGTTTTCCCCTCCCCACTCAGACCACTCCCACAGAGTCCTAGCTAAATTCTTGCTTGATAAATTGCTCTTTGCTAAGAAGCTATTTTTGTTTATTTTTGACAATTTTAATTGAAAACAATCACAGTAAGGTACATGACTGTTACCCAGATATGATTTGATATTAGATTAAAAAAACAGCTACATTGGACCTTTAAGATTTCATATTTTTTTACCAGTTTTTTCCTTTTTCAAACTTTGATCATTGCAGAAAACAATATTCTGCTCGAGGCAACAGAGTTAGGTGGGACACTCCTACGCATCATATATTGGAAATACAAATACTTATTAGACATCTGAAGGCAACCCCTTGGTAAAAACATAAATATTTGTCATGTTTCCTTTAGTCATAAACTAACTCCTCTGATGTAGAAAACAACTGACGATTTCCTGAAAGAGCAGAAAGAGGCGACAATGAAATTCAAACATCCCCATCAAAAACAGATCAAATAGATAGAAAACAAAAAGCAAATACTGCCTCAAACTCAAACACAGTATTTTTACAATAATTTTGTTCATTCAAATTTGACCGGCAAAACACTGACATTTTCACACGTGGCAGATATGTTTTAGTAGTACATTTCAATTATGTTTAAAACGTGAAATAATCTGATTTAGAATGCACACAACCAAATCATTTCGAAACAAATAAAAAACGGCTAAAATTACTTTTTATTTTGTCCTCTCTGAAGTTGTTATAAGGCTTGGGAGAATGCATATTGTTGAGACTGTTCCGACCTCATTCTGCAACCTATTGGATCATCATCTGAAACTACCATTCACCTCTCTGAACCAATGAGGAATTAACTCCTAATCCCCAGAGTGGACTGAAACAGAGCTGGACAATCTCTTCAATACACTATACCAACTTCAACACATAACTCTGTTGAAATGTACAGTAAGCTGTGTTTTAGACTTTGCTTTGCTTCCAAAGTTGACAACTGATACACAAACAGTGCCAAGCTGACTGAAATGTGCACTGCAATGGGTTGGCATATCGATCTTTATCTACATCCCAGGTCACCAGCTCAAGGAGAGGCTTTGGGATTTAGCATTAGCATATCACAGAGATATAGAGAGAGCGAGACAAACAAGGCAATGTGGGCTCAACTATTCTCACTTTACCGCAACAGTTATCCACACACACCTGTGTCCAGGTAGCTCAGTTGGTAGAGCATGGCGCTTGCTACGCCAGGATAGTGGGTTCAATTCCCGGGACCACCCATACTTAAAATGTATATACGCATGTCTGTAAATTGCTTTGGATGAAAGCGTCTGCTAAATTACATATATTATCTGAACCTGCTCTCCAACTACACAACGCAGCATCTTGAATTCTTCACAAATCCATATAGGATAAGGATTAGCCTAGATAAATGGGTTTTTATATGGTATATTATTTATGTTGGATTATGTACAATATTATGGGATAGAGCTGCTTTGTAAAGATGGAGAGTGAGAGAATCCTAGTCGAAGACTCTCTCCACACCAGATGGAGGTCCATGCAAGGCATTTAGGATATAGTTCTCCACCATGGACTATCCACAGTTAAAATGGCTAACAACTAGAGTCAGAAATCAGGAAAGCATAATAATTTCAAATTTGAGCTTCAATCATAACAGTCTCTCCCAAAATACATCCAAGTAAGGGTGTTGACATTTATACCAATTTCCCCATGAAATCTCCCGAATCGTTACTCTCTCTTAAAAATACCTGATAAAACAACTTTAAAATGGCTCCAGTTTTAGATATATTTATGAGTTAAGCATACAGTATATTCAGAATGAAAGCAAACACACATTTAAATGGAACAATTCAATCATTCACTTGTACTGTACCACAACTATGACCATATAAGTACCGCAGATGCTTTGAAGCTTTAACTGAAATAAAATGTCAAATATGACATTTTAATGAAAGAACCACGATAAAATAACAATTACAAAACAATTATTCCAATGACTTTAAGTCATAGCCTCTTTGCGCTACACCAATCTCAAACCACACCCAAATCAGTTCTCCATGTCTAAATGTAGCTTTCAATGCCATTCATTCGCAAATAAGCACATTTCAGGAGAATGTCATTAACTTTGGTACATCACATGAAAAAAATAGACAAAAATTAAATAAAATCTAAGCAAATTGAAACAAAAACTTGTGACAAATTCTTGCAGCTCACAATCTGCCAAAATCACAAATCAGACATCAGTCCCTCAACTTAAGACTGGAAGAGTGAACACAAAAATTAACCATGGTACTTTAGAGGTGTATCTTTAAAACAAATCAAACTCTCCCCTTTCCTCACCTTGCTCTTCCTTTTCTTGTCCCCTCCAAAGAAGTTCCCAATTTGATCCATAAGGCCAGGGGCCTTCTTTTTCCTTCCCAGGCTAGACAGTCCAGAGGAGCTTGCAGTTGCCATGTCAGTGGTTTGGGTTGGATAGTGCTGCTAGTATCTCTGTAAGTGGGGTTCTGTCTCTCAGGTGAGAGCGAAGGGGGTATTAAGAGAGAGAAAGGAGAGCAAAGAAACAAACTTAGTCTAGATCCTGATCCTCTGAACCACACTCTGATCCCGCTCCGCTGTGCTCTTGGATGGTCTGTAGCTCATCCGATTCAGAAGGGCGGTCTTTGAAGGTGTTGTCCTCGCGGCCCGGGGCATCTCGGGAGAAGAGGCGGACCAGGTGGGGGCGTGGCACGGCGCTATCGTCAGCATCAGCTGTGCTGGCTTCGTTCCAGGAGCTGCTGGGCCCCTCAGTGCCCGTGGAGTCAGTCACCGCCGCCGCCTTCTCAGAGGGGCAGCCATTGTTCGGGTTCACATCTGCCTCATCCCAGGCCTGCGCAGAAACAACAAGGGTTATCTATTGGACTATGGGGCCTGCATGGCGCACAAGGGCCCTGCACAATGGGGCCCTTTGACAAGACCCTGCTCTTTCTGCCAGAGAAACTCAACAGAGAAGGGATCCTGAGTGACATGCCCTGTAATAGACCCAGAACATGGATAAAATACATAGCTAGGAGATTATTGCAACTGGGAAAACCATACATTGTTAGCAAGGGTCATTACCTACTATCAAAACGGTTTCACAGTGTCTCCTACTCAGTCCATGCCAAAAGGTCTTTACAGTTATAATACTGTATAAAAGTAACATAGCACACACATATCCTTCCCCAAGCCCAATAGCTCTCTTGGAATGATAATGGCATACTTTCCACATTCCTTTACAGAACTCATTTTACCAGGTAAGTTGACTGAGAAAACATTCTCATTTATAGCAATGACCTAGGGAATAGTTACAAGGGAGAGGAAGGAATAAGCTGGGGATGATTGGGAATTTAGTCAGGACACAGGGGTTAAGTGCCATGGGATCTTTAGTGACCACAGAGAGTCAGGACACCCGCTTAACGTCCCACCTGAAAGACGGCACCCTACACAGGGCAATGTCCCCAATCACTGCCCTGGGGTATTGGGATAAATATTTTTTTAGACCAGAGGAAAAAGTGCCTCCTACTGGCCCTCCAACACCACTTCCAGCAGCATCTGGTCTCCCATCCAGGGACCGACCAGGACCAACCTGCTTAGCTTCAGAGGCAAGCCAGCAGTGGGATGCAGGGTGGTACTCATATCCCTAGGTCAGCCATTTGTCATTGAATGTCCAATGCTGAAATGCTAATTCACACGTTTCTCCATTTGTTTTCCACATGTGCGAATGGACCCAAACGGACACTATGGCCATCAGTGTGATGCTGAGATCTACGGCATTAACTGTAACTTATCCCCTCTGACAGAAGCCACCATGCTAGCTAGCTCCCGGAGCACAGGGCATGCAGTGCAGCGCTCCCTGAAGAACAATGCAGACACTATACTGGACGAAATGGTGTAGAAAAAACACCAGGGGAATCTGCATGCTAATATTTCGTCAACAGTGGCCTATTGTCAGAGCTGCATAGTTATTTCTGTGGGACAGAGAGGCTAGTGTCACTAAAATAACTCCTATAAGTATGGATTTTCAATCCGATGCACGGTGACACTTATCTGATGCCTGAGCAACTGCAAGGCAGGCAGGCGTTGGCTTGAGCCGGTTTGAGCAGATCATTGGGTTTGAGAAAGACCTCAACAGTAACTCAAAATGGATCAACAAGGCGTTCAGATGGAAGGATATTACTGCATTTAGAATTGGGTAAAAAAATAAGAACATTGCAATTTGGAGAACCAAACCGAACGTCAAGATCTGGATCTACTGACAAATGTTCAGATTCTATGATCAAAGAGACGTATCACATTCCTGATCAGCGTTATCATGAATCTGAGTACAACTAAAGCACAAAGCTGAGACTTACAGTTGTGTGAATGACGTACCACAATGACAAATCACAGGCACTTGAACTGGCACACTGAAATGAAATATGTACTATGAAAGCAGGTTTACTGTAGCAGAAGCCATTTACGTATTCAAACAAATTGCTCTTGGATATGATTGTCTAAGGATGTAAGGATGGCTGGTCTCGACCAAAGCTCAAAGCCCATTGGGGAAACAGGACGCCCCCAGCACATTTACATTTACATTTTACATTTTAGTCATTTAGCAGACGCTCTTATCCAGAGCGACTTACAGTTAGTGAGTGCATACATAATTTTAATTTTTTATTTTTTCATACTGGCCCCCCATGGGAATCGAACCCACAACCCTGGCGTTGCAAACGCCATGCTCTACCAACTGAGCTACATCCCTGCCGGCCATTCCCTCCCCTACCCTGGACGACGCTGGGCCAATTGTGCGCCGCCCCATGGGTCTCCCGGTCGTGGCCGGCTAAGACAGAGCCTGGATTCGAACCAGGATCTCTAGTGGCACAGCTAGCACATCTTATCTTATTTCACTGAGTCACTAAGACCTTGATATTTTCCCAGTGAACAAATCACAGAACCAAACATCCCTTGTCACCTTGGTGAAAGGCAACTGTAATTATGATCCTACACCTCACAACATGAAATACGAGGGACTGGAAGAGCAGGAAAGAGAGAAAAAAAAGATCAGTAGAGAGAGTAAATGGAGAAAGAAAGAGGGAGATCCCGGATATAATATGAAAAGGGAGGATGGAGAGATATTTCCCAGTAGATGTGGTTGAGGTGTGTGCTGCTGTGACAGTGCTATAAAGACAGAGTGATATGATGTTATAAAATGATGAAAGCAGTGCTCCCGGTGCTTCAGCAGCTCCACAATATGAGCAAACTGTTCAGACTTATTTCCTCCCGGCAGTGGCCCTACTCTGTTACAGAGTCCTCTCATGCCATCACCTCCATCATCAACTGCCATCAACCCCATTACCTCAGCATATCACTCTCAGTACTATCTGCACCTCCACAAGAAAAGCAAAGAAAAACTTTCCACAGCACTTACAGAATGATGACAAGTCACCTGGCATCTTGTATGCTTGGCAAACACAAAAACGCTGAATAATCAGTCTAACCGCCTTTCCTTCTCCCTCTCTCTGTGACTCTGGGGAAGAAACGGTATACTCCATAGATGTGGTTCTCTGTGTGCATAGCCCAGAGTGTTTTGACATTGAAACACCTCTGCAAATGAAACACCAACCAACGTAGAATATTATAGGTTTGCATTGCACATCTATTCTACATGTGTGTATTGTTAGAAAATAATATAGTTATGAATCAAGTTTATAAAGATAAATAGTCAGCTTAACATTAGACTGCTTTAAAGGTCTAAGAACATCTGACAAACTTTGATTTTGAAGTGCAATACCACTTAATGCTTTGTCTTTGGTTCAAGGACAGAAATACTGTGACAGAGACCTGAACAGGACTCTCGATCTCCATTAGGCTCAGCTACTATTTGCAGGTGCACTCAGAATATGTCTGCACCGGGGCACCATCTCCACGTTATGATAATAACACATCCCATCAGTCAGTCAATCAACAGGGCTGAATGCTGATTAAATAGTCTCTCTCACACACTCTCCCTGCCAAATAAGTTAAGAGCACTGTTCCATCCACAGATAACTGAGCTTAATCTAACTACATTTTCTATTAGGAAATGCTGTTAGTCATATGCTCAGAGGAGTGTATAGCACGACGATGACACCGCCGTACCCGTCTTGTCATAATAGATTCCGTTTTAACTCTGCGATACCTTTAAAAATTGTGGAGGGTTTATGGGGACTATTACATTTCATTATCCCTATATTTCTGTGAGACACTTTGAGTTGTGTCAGAAACGTCAGTCCCACTTTATACGTAATATACTGTATATTTTAAGCCCTAATGAATCCTTAATAAAATGGGACTGGACCATCGGAAATCAGGCGGAAGCAGGTCTAAAGCAAAACCCTAAAAATAAACATTTGAAAAACCAGGCTCAAAGAGCCTAAAAAAGAGAGATGAAAAGTGAGATACAGGGATCGAGAGAGAGAGAGGAGGTGGTTTATCCCCAGTGTGCTCCTTCATTACATTAACAAAACCATGCTTACCCCTCTCCCCAATGCAAAGATGTAGTAGCAGAGATAGCAGAGATGATAAACACTGGTGCTTGTAAACAACATTCAGGGAAATGAATGAGTGGGCTGATGCATAACACTGACGAGGGGGTAGGAGGTAGAAGGGTCTCTACAGAGCTGCTCAGGGTTTGCTATGTAGCACGCTGCGCTCACTTTTCTTGATCTCTTGGTCCCCCTCATGAATTTCATATTATTAATGCATTTAATGAGGCACTCATGGCAATGTGTCTGGCACAGGGCCGGCTGGAGACAGATGATAGGCCTTAGTGAATGATTGAAAAGCACACAGTCACTCATCGTGATACAGTACATATTCTACCACTTCAATCAGGCCCGTTATTGATCTACACTCTTAGAAAAAAAGGTGCTATCTTAATCCAAAAAGGGTTTTTCGGCTGTCCCCATAGGATAATTATAACCCTTTAATGTAGGAGAAGCCTTTAAAGAATCCCATTTGGTTCCATGTAGAACCCTTTCCACAGAGGGTTCTACAAGGAACCAAAAGAGTTCTACCTGGAACCAAAAAGGGTTCTCCTATGGGGACGGCCGCAGAACCCTTTTGGAACCCTTTTTTCTAAGAGTGTACTTTAAATATGTGTTTATTAACCAGGCTATGACCGTTCCATAAAAAGAAGATCTGTAGTGGCGAGTGAGAGAAGAAGAAGTGACAACCCACAGTGACAAACTCTTGACAAACAGACAAGAGAGGAGAGGAGGAATGCAGCGAGTGGGCCTTGGCTCTCTCCCTTTCTCAATCTCTCTCCTCTCTCCTCATGGCCCCTGTAGTGCAGAGGACGTTTGGCCTTCTGGTGGACCAGCGTCTGGAACAACAACAAGGAGCCAGCCAGGACCCACCCATAGTGGTGGGACCCAGGCACGGGAAGTATTCCTCTAAGAAGCAGCGCAGATATGTGGCCCTTGACCAGACCTCCTACCCAGAAGTAAAAAACTGCCACCGCCCACTCTGCCACAGCATTCATCATGGCTCCCGGACTTCCACCCACAGGCCCCGGGGAGAATGGCCATCTGTCTTCAGACTCATCTGGCATTCATGGTCGTCCTCCAGAGATTTTTCAGCGGCAGATAGAGGAGATGCTACAGATGCTACAGTTAAACCCCCAAGCATGACCTCTGTGACCTTCACTTCCTACAACTGCTCAATCCAAATGGGGAATAATGTGTATGTCAGATATTACAGTTCAACCAAACCTGTTTACACTCTTAGAAAAAAGGAAAACCCTTTGAAGAACCCCTTTTGGTTCCAGGTATAACCCTTTTGGGTTCCATGTAGAACCTTTTTCACAGAGGGTTTTACATGGAACACAAAATGGTTCTACCTGGAATCAAAAAGGGTTCTACTTGGAACCAAAAAGGGTTGTCCTATGGGGACAATTAAAAAACTTGTATGTGATATCAGCGTGTATGTGATATCAGCTTTTACCCAGGAAAATAGAAATGTGTCAGTGGTAGTGCCAATTTCAGCATGCACTCATGCAAAACAACATCCACTTTGCTGGGTTACACTCCCTGTTCTTGTTTAGCATCAGTGTTGAGGTTTACATCATAATCTGAGCCAGTCCCAGTGAGGCTAGCATCACTGTCAACTCTGGTCTGTCAACACCGGCCAATGCTTTTCGTACTGATCTGTTTACTGGCCAAGAACATCTCACTCAGAGCATTATCTATCTCTCTCTCTCTCATTCTCACTTTCTCTCTCACTTTGACTCCGTCTCTTTCTTTCAGTATTTGACTCTCTCTCTTTTACTCTCTTTCTCCCTTTCTCTCTCTCCCTCTCTGTCTTTTACTCTCTCTATTACTCTCTCTCTCATGGGGTTTCTAGCCCAGATCTCTCCTCTCTCAGGTAAAAGGCGTTAGGTAACAACAGCACAGAACAGGACAGAGCTGGACAGAGCAGGCAGATACAGCACCAACCGGTTGCTATTGATCAATCCACAGTGTGTGTGTGTGTGTGTGTGTGTGTGTGTGTGTGTGTGCGTGTGTGTGTGTGTGTGTGTACAGGGACTTTGTCTCTAATGGGACAGCCGTTAACTGTGTGAATGTGAAATAGCGCAGCCTACACTTACAGTATGCCCAGAGAATACAGTAGTTAGTTTCCTCTCCCACCACCACTTTCCTGGATCAATGGCAAACTTAAACAGAAAATGAGTAAATCCAGTCGGTGACAATGGCTTTTGTTACACCCCAAGCACAATGCACCATTATCCTGCTTTAGATGAGCATATATTTCACATTTTAGTCATTTAGCAGACGCTCTTATCCAGAGCAACTTACAGTTAGTGAATGCATACATGTATTTATTTTTATTTATTTTTTCATACTGGCCCCCCGTGGGAAACGAACCCACATCCCTGCCGGCCAAACCCTCCCCTACCTTGGACGACGCTGGACCAATTGTGCACCGCCCATGGATCTCCCGGTCATGGCCGGCTGCGACAGAGCCTGGACTCGAACCAGGATCTCTAGTGGCACAGCTAGCACTGCAATGCAGTGCCTTAGACCACTGCGTCACTCAGGAGTCATATACTGTGGGCTTTCGTCTAATTGCTTCATTTCTTCTTGTTTCACTACATTTCCTCTTTACGTTATGTTTAATTCTTTACAGTCTAAGACGTTGGGGGAGGAGGGGGTGCTAAGCTGACATGTAATTGTTTCAAGATGGTCATATTTGATTTTTAATTTTAGGACCTTTAGGTATAAAAAATATATTTAAAAATGATTTGATAAAATATAGATTTTGTCCTTTACTACTAAAGCCCATAGAAATGCATTGAATAACACATTCATAAATGGCAAAAAAGACAGTCAACAAAATAAATCATGAGAAACAAGGTTTTGAAGTGTCTGTCCTAAATCTTTTTTGGGTAGGAACAAAACTACCTTCATATACTTCCATTTGTTTAAAAAAAATCCGTACTTGTGGGGGTCCTAGAGCAAAACGGACGACACCATTGTGTTCGTTAGAATCTCCCCTTTCCACAGTGGGGTCCCATTAGTTTGTGTTCGGACGCTACCAAATAGAAGTTGGAACATCAGATGTGTCTCCTGACACCCCTTTCCATTGAGTGGTCATAATAGTTTAAAGGTCAGACCATTCGGACGCTACAGACGCTTATGTGAGAAGACAGATTTTCGGGGGATTGTCGCATGCTCTAACTCTGCCACCTTTCACCGCAGATGCGGAAGTGCGACACTGCCGGATGCGGTGATTTGAGACGCATCCAATGCAAAAAAACAGATATCTCTAGCTGACGGATTTTGATGGGGATTTGTTTTTAATGTACTGTAACTTAGATTGACGCACCAGTGCGTCAATCGACTCTAGGGGGTTAATTGCATTGATTTCGCTAACAGGTTTTACAGCTGGGGGTGTTTTGCTCAAACATACCTTGGGGATATCTCATACTGCAACTTGTCCATGCTAGTTCACAAAATGGTGCAAAAAAATTATGTTAAGCTTTTTGTCCATATATCAAATATGGCCTGATATGACTCCAATGTTGTAGATGATGGAGTCTTTTTCAACTCAACTGACATTACAAAAAAAACATTCTATTGTATGAGTCACCTCAGTTTACATAATTTGAATTAATATTCTACATTACCATGGAAATTGTTGCATCACCATACCAGGTAGCCAATGCGAATGTACCCATGAGTTTATTAGTCAAATTGCCAGGGTTAGAGGTTCCAAGCCCGTTCCATTCATTCTATTTATATGTGTGCTGCTGCAGCAGTGAGGGGGGTGTTGCCTAGACAACCGAAGACTTGTTTGCTACAACGCCAAGCTTCATCACATTGTTCAATCCGCTATCTGACCACTGGCATAATTAACTTATCATCCTGAGTGCTTGTATCAAGTGGAGAGTCAGAAAAAACACCATAAAACAGACCATCTATACACTATATCTACCATCTGCACTAGGATCGACAGGACAGCAAAACACTGCTCACTCAATTTCCTGAAGACACTTTATCTTATCACACAGGTT